TTAAAATATATTTAGTTATCCCCCAAAATATTCATTACGCCACCTCTAAAATGTGTAAAATATGATGAATACTTATGATTTGTCATTCCATTCATATATATTTTCCAGATTTGCTTATACAGGTTCACTCAAAAAAGTCATGAATAAGTCAATTTATTTATGTTTCTTTCTCTTTTTACATTGAAATCTGGCAGACGTTTTGAAGTTATTTTAAGCACGGTGATTTTTTAATCAAAATGTATCTATTTATCAACCTAAAAAAATCATCTCAAAATGTTGCCGAATAAATCGTATCTAAAATGTGCAAACTATGATCAGTCTATACTTGTAAATCAGGATCGTATAAAGTTATCATAAGCATAATAAATTTTTAATCAAAATATATCGGTTTATTCCCCCCAATTTCAATCAACTTATAGGGGTTCTAAAAAAAATTAAATTCGCAAAATCAAATCTTATAATTTTCGAAAATGCTGGATATGTTTCATTGTACTTTAGGGGGAGGGAAGTTTTTTCGAAACAACTTTCGACTAATTTTTTTCGTATGTCGTAGTGTTTGTCATTGTGTTCGAGACAGGTGTCATTTCGATGTCAAACTCAGTTTAAAGGTTATTAACTTATAACAGTCGATATGACATTTCAGACACGACATAGGAAAAAAAATCTGAGCTAATATACTTATAGACGGCTAACTTTTATTGGAAAAAAATAGGATATGCTTCCCTTCATAAGAAAAATCTAAAAAATATCTACCGTTACTTTGAAGCACATTCTTTAACAAACATTTATTTAATAAATTTTTAGAATGTCGTTATTAACTTTCTAGATGATGTGGATCGATAAATTTTAATAGTTACTTACCAGTTCTCAAAAATTCAAAAACGCTGGCTACAATTTTTAAATTTCAAACTTCATGCAAAACAAGTAGGTACCTACCTACGACTAATGAAATACTTAATTGAAATATATACATGTTCCTTTTCCATGACGATATTTACACACTTTTTTATTACTGCCCGAGCTCAAGCGAATGTTTTCACGTTTTCTAGACATTTCGTGACGCCTAGAGTACTAAAAAATTGGTATAACCATTTCCGTTTGCCTACCTGTCGTGTCTCTATGGTTTGATTGTCTCGACTTTTATTTGACAGATAATATCCATAACTACCTACTGACTGTCAAATTTTAAATGTATTTTAGGAATATCTTGTAAGTAGATGATAAAACGCTAACCAAAATTTGGCTAATATCCCCACCAACAATTTGATGACGTCCTCTACCCTAGGACATCCAAATTTTCGCAGAGCAGCGAAGGTCGTGTGTTCGAACCATTGGTGAAGTTTTTTTTTCTTAAACTGTGGCTAGTACTTTTTATACTTATGCATATGTTTTGTATCTATTGTACAAATCAAGAATGGTGCACCCATTTGTTTATAATATGTAATATACAGATCTCTTTTTATAAAATGGGACACATTTAAATATGGGCACCAAAAAACCATAACGTCCGTGTTCAAACCTTAGTGTGAATTACGACACCTCCGTTGTACCTAAACGCAAATTTATGTCGAACAGTACCTAGGGTTTAGCACTGACATGAAATAAATATTTTGATAATTATCGTTAGTGTTTGTTTCTGCAGTTTGTCAGTTCAAGACACTTTTAGTTATTGTTTTAGGTTAAACCGAAGAGATTAATAAATAACCTGAAGAACAAAATATGTGAATTATAAGGTCTATTATTCGAAAACCAAACAAACAAGTTAACAATACTAATCCAACAGATACCAAAATGCCGTCCCTCATTTTGTTAGCACGCTTGCAGTTTTGTCCAAAACGATCTCTTCACTCTCATTAAAATGTCAGGTGCAATAACGGGGCATTTTTCAGAAATTCTTTGTTCCAAGTGTTTCACACTAAGTATTGGGGTTTTATAAACCCGTTTCTTCAGTGTGCCCCATAAAAAAATCTAATGGTGTAACGTCTAATACCATAAATTTTGCATCGTTTCTAAATCTATGTCTTCCAGAAACAATTTAAATTATAATTTCTAACACCCTCATTTCTGATGTCGTTGCTGTTATGGCTCTATTTCTTTTAATAGGGAACCAGTCCTTTCTTAAAGCTGCCTCGATTGTTTTAAAGATCTTGTCATCTGCAGTTTTTGGAAATCGTATGGCATGCAACCGGTCAGCTGCAAAAGCATTTTTCTTACATTCTCCATATAAGTATTAATTAAAGTCGTATCACATTTCTCATCGTTCGAATACACTATAGCAAATAATGTGACAAATGGTGCCAAATCTAATTTTTTAATAAAAATATCTCACTAGAAGTGAAATGTTTTGCTAGTTGCATTTAAAATTTGTAGGGCTCGGCATTATGCATGAAACACATTATATTAATTCTAATTATAACATTACTTAAATTAAAACTTCTGCACGATCCACTCAGATAAAGATTAAATAAAGTTATTATTAATTTTATTAGAAACACATCAATAATTATTTTTTTCGGCCTTCTAGTATGTGCGGCGATGATTGCTGTCGGCGGTCGGGCGGCGTTCGCCTAAAGCAATTCCGGGAGAGGGTTGCCGAAAGTCTCGATGGCGGATTCTAGAACAACCTCGATCGCCAAATATCTAGAAGGGAGCGAGTGGCTGTTTAAATAAAGACCACCACCGGGAATAGTCCAGTCGGAGTCCAACAAATGAGAGAATTTGAGTCTAGTAGAAACCATTCCAGTCGAGTCGGAATTATTCTGTATATAATCGCTGTATGGTTACTTGTGTAGTTTTGTATTGTTGTGAAATAAATGGTTGAGTTTTACCCACGCCGATTTTAAATTACCGATTAACGTAGTAGTAGATATATTTAAATTTTACTGTATTTTTTTTAATTTTCCGGTTTCCAACTTTACCTTTATCACCTTCACTCGGTATGTGTTCAATGTGGTTCAGATTTGTTTGTACACTTTTGAAAAGTCCTGATAACCCATGAGCGCAAAGATTTGTGACCCCTACTAAGTGGTTGATAATTTCCTTTTTTCTTGTAGCGCTTATTGGTTTACAAAATGGATCGTGGTTATATAAAACTCCAAAATTCTTGGAAAAATTATCGAAAAATTCTCAAAAAATTAGTCTAAAATTGTAAAAAAAGATATTCCTTCACCCCTGAAACAAATTCAGATAAATCGATTTTCCTTAATAAACTTTAATTCTGCGAATTCGATTTTTTATGGTAACCCCTATAAATTAGGAAAAAATTGGTGCGAATTTTTAAACTACAGGTAAAGATACGTGTACCCGTTTCAAGTAAGTTTTCCTTAAAAATTTTGTGATAACGTTATCAACGTTTTAGGAGGGACAAAATGTAACTATCAATTTGGTCGGGCAAAATGTGATACTAAGTAATTTGTCGTTCGTATTATTAGTTATTTATTGTTATTAATCAGTAAAAGGTATTGCTTCTTTCATTAATACATATATTTTAGGGCCACCTGTGGAAAATGAAAAATATGAATGCACTGACAGGATTTATTCAGCAAAATTTTGAGATGCGGTCTTTAGGTTTTTGATCGTTGTCAACACAAAAATTATGTACTTCATAAAATTTAAGTAGGTGTTATTTACTTTTCAATATGTTAAGATGACGTCCTCGCATTTTTGATCGAATTGGTGTCAACATAGATAATTAAATACAAACATCATCTAAAGATTGAATACATCCTCTCGTTTCATGGCATTGTGCACAAATGAAATGGTAGGTATGGGGTTTAGAACCGGTCTTTGAGGAAAGCCCGTAAATATTATGCGGGGCTTGAAAAAAATTCTTATCTTCACGGAGATAATTACGACGATTGCTGCAGCATCTCGTTTAAAAGGTGTCAACCAACTGCATTATATCCTTGCTTGATATCTGCAAAAATGCAGGCTGTTAGTTGAATATGAGGCGAACTGGAACCTCATTTGTGTCTAATTTGCAAGCCAAGTAAAACTTGTTCTTATTCAAGAACGTGCTATAAACGTCGACTTGTTCGAAAGTTTTAACAATAAACAAACGGTACACGTTTTTAAGAGTAGTTGGAAATTTATTTTCGTTATAGCATTCATTAACGATCATAAGAAGAACTGTTTCATTTGGTGAGGTAGATGGATTAACAATAACATAGGTAATTCTATAAAAGCCTGTGAAAATGTAGTTAGACGCCTTCAAAGAGCACTGCAATTCACGAAAGTTAATTTTTTTCTTCAACCGATGAAAGTAAGGAGTAGGGAGATGAATGTCACGAATTTCTTAGTAAAATGCTGGCGGTTCCAGAATTTTAAAATCGTTGGTGAGAAGTGGTTGGGACAGCAACAGCACACGTTACAGTTCCAATTTGGTGGATTTTTTTTTGACATTTGCCAGATTTATCCTATAGGTCTACATTGTCCCAGAAAAGTTACATAAGTTCTCCAACCTTTACACGTGTTGAACTTAAAGCGTCGGTTCGAGGTTTTACAAGGTCGATGCAGTCTAGGTCCCACCATGACGACTCGAGCTGGTGATGAACTTTTGGGAATTGTTGCGTTTGTTGCACTGGTAATTAAGTTTAGTACGTATTTAACTTTACAAAATTCTGAAGACGTTAAAATGAAGCGCAAAGTTATTCTAATATTGGTCTAGGTCAAATAAGGGGTTGAAATTTCCAGAGAGTGTTGTGTAAGGAAATCGATTACAATCGTCAAATTGTGAACTTAGAGGTATTTCTAATAACAACCATTGACTGGTCAAGGAAACGTTGGCTGAAACGAAAGTGCAGGTCAGATGACTGCTGAACAGAATAAGGAACATAACGTTGGCGAAATCAACACTGTCAGATCTGATAGTACCATACCTCTACAAGATGTGATCTAGATTGAAATCACCACCAGTCAAGACGTTAGCAGGCAGTTGTCTAAGGAGCGATAGCCAGCCAGAATAATTTACCACCAGAGCCGGCGGTCGATAGACGCATAAAAAAAATGTGGAACGCTTCACGATTTTGCGTGTCATCCTTGCGCAGGGCTCATGATAATCTTCTTTGAATTGTTCCAATTTTAGCACACGTATCTACGTAAGATAAGTCATTTCAAACATTTATTAATAAATATGTGCTGAAAATGTGCTTTAAGATAAAGTAGCACCAGGATATGCTTTTATTTATTTAGAATCGTGAAGATGTTGCAGATTATCTCAAAAACAACATTTTGAGAACAACGTAACGTTAGTAGAAACGCTATATGGTATAACTTTAGATCAGTATATTTACACCGACCACAAAGTTAATACGATTCCAAAAAAATTGTTTAACGAAGATTTATTAGAAAATATCCTGTGGTGTATACAGGGGCGGCTGGTCAGGGGCGGCAGGGTCGGCCACGCCGTACCAGTCATTTTAAAATACTTAGTAAGCGTTGAAATTAGAAAATAAAAAAAGAAATAAAGTTTGAATGTATGTTAGGATAGATCATATATATTAAAAATATATTTTATTATATTGTAGGTACAAAATAAAGCACTTGTTGCTAATTTTAAATGCTGATAAACACGCTTTGCCGGCGAGATTTTGGCACGCCGTATCCAGGAATGCATTATGCTCGATGTTTCGACTTCGTAGCAGCTTACGGTTTCATCGTTCCCTTTGTCTAGTACACTGTAGTAGACAAAGACCTGGCGGAACGTATGTTGTACCAGGTCCGGCAAAATCCTCCTTCGCCGTACCCAGCAACGCGAATTTAGTTTTTAAAACGCTTAATATTTAAGATAGCTAACCAAATTACAAAACAATAACGGCTTCGATGTTCTTCAGTGCATACTATTTTTTTTTAATAATAATAATTGTCGATTTAATACATTTTCCTGTGTATGAATAATAAACGAAAAAAATTACATTAAATTATCTAAAATTTTATTTTTCGGACATAACTTAGCTACAACATAAATGCGCTTTTTCTGTATTTTTAGCATCTAAGCGTTTTCAGATATTTCAGAAACGAATTTAAAGTTTTAAATCATTTTAATTTTTCAATTATTCAATTAATTTATTTGACAATTTGTCATATACATTAAAAAAAATAAATGTAAATGAAGATAGTTAACAGTTGGTACTTTTATTATTACTTTTTTTATATTTTTTAACTGCATGTCATTATTTAATTATTATTATTTAATTGTGGATGTCCGGGGTCGGCAAGCCGTATAGCCGCCGGTCGACGCGGAACTCAGTAAAAATAATGTTTTCGGTGGTTCTCAATTAATGATAAAGCAGAACAAGTAGAATTAAGGATTAATAGTATTTGGAATCAAACTGACATTGTCAATTTCCTATAAAAAATTATTTTAACAGGTCGAAACATTTGAGATGTTTTGTACATCCTGGCACGTAAAATGTCAGTGGTTAATGAGTAGCAGCCATACATTACGAAAATATATAACACCAAGGTGTAGACTCAAAATATTTGGCCGACCCGGAATTTTGACCCACCAGCCGCCACTGGGTGTATAGATGGTATCTGTCACACGAAGTAGGGGCAGTTCTGTGTATATAATTTTATATTTTCGCTTTGCCATTAAACCTGTTTTTTACAGAATAAATTTGTATCCCTAATAAACAGATGAGTTATCCTCTGTGAGAAACACTGTATTTAATTAAATGCTTGGTAGGTATTTATGTATTTCTAAAAAGAAAAATGAAACAAAGCTCAATAAGTTTTAATTACAATTATTTTATAAAAAACTAATCTAGATAATTTATACCTAGAAGACTGAATTCAGCTAGAGAAAAAAATCTATGAACAAAAGGATGTTATTAAACGTATTCTCGTGTCTTATTTCATTGTAAACCATCTGGCGTATTTTTATTGTGCAATCAGTGCAAATATCGGAAGAAAGAAAATAAGAGATAAAATAAGAAAAATCCATTGAAGCGATTAGTGAATTCAGGTTTTCTTAATGTAGCTCGTACAGGCATATTTTTTCTGGAAAACAGAGAAGCGCAAGATGGAGCCATGTGTGTAAAAGTATCTATTTCAGCATATATATCAATAAAAGCTACAATTTCAGTATTTTTATGGCTCTGCAGAGATGAGCAAATGTCAAGATCACATTATTTGTGTCGGACGCGTGACATAAAAGAAAACTTGCTCTCCCACGATTTTCTTTTGATCAATTGAAATTTCACCTACGTACTTATATTAAACAAAGTTTCTTGCATGCAGGCACGTGAGCGAAACTAAAGACAAAAGCGTCGATGGCTATTGTTTTCCGGAAATCGCTTCCTTTTTACTGCCGCTGTTCTCCACTTTGGCAATAAAAGATCCATCTGCCCTTTGTACCTAGCGTTCGCGATAATTATTCCAAGCAGGTGCACCGGTGAATGCGAACTAGGTAGGAGCCTCTGGAAATACAAACAAGGACTAATTTTCCCATCAGTCGCTTTATTAAAACAGTTAATAATGAGAGTTCGCCGCTTTGGGCACACCTGGACGGCATATCGAGCATTTAGACCGTGGTCACAGATACCCAGGTCCAAATGATTAACGACTCAACCTGCAGTTCAGTATGATGACAGAATCCTCTCGGTTGTCTTGATTTAGTGCGACGCTAACTCACCCGCCGCGTATCCTGTTATCTCCTGAAAAGCGCAGAGACTTCACACTTCAGCCGCTTGATAAGCTTACGGAAGCTGTAAACGAAATAATATCGCTGTTATTGAAAGCACCATTAATCTCTAGAGGATCTGCTAAAGCTAAATTTACAATCGCTCGGGCTTATCCTTACAAATCGAATATTGCGTTTATTATATCTACTACAAAGTTTCACCTAAACTGGTATATTGCAGTTTGTAATAATTAGAGGAGCTATTAAGCTGGATAAATACTAAGGAAATTTAGATTCACGAATGGAAAGTCGATGCTCTTATGAAACAAAGTAAATATAAAAAAAAAAAATAAAATATGTAGTTGCAGAACAACATCTATTTACTACGTCTCACACAATGCAGTAAGATCAGCAATCCTATTGTGATTCATTTTATCGCACCTAGTCATTCCACTAAAAATGTTCGCATCATACGTATCTTTTAAAACTGAGCAAATTCAAATTATGGACATAACTTATAATCGATTACGAAAATGGAATCTCCGATTTATTGTGAAAAAAAATGAAGAGATGTGTTCCTAGATAAGTATAAGTATTAAAATAACCAAATGAAGTGAAAAGAAACAAAAACACAAATTTGTAAGTGAGCGAAAGTCCCATTTATTAAAATAATCGTTCTGAATTACACCGATACAACGAAAACCGCATTTCTTTTTGTCAATGGAAATAGTTTTAGGTAAACCACTTCTCAGGTCTTTGAGATTAAAGTATGACCATCATGACAGTTTTAGAGCATTTAGATTCATCTTCACGACTTCATCTATATATGACAAATGAGTTAAGCCTACAACAACATACGAATATAGTACAATAAGGTTCAAACATTATATTTGGCAATAAATAATGCGAATTAAATGTTTCCTTCCACTTACGTTTTCATAAATAACGATATGTAGAAATCAACGTACTGTGAACTGCGCTCTTATAAATCGGGTAATATTTCTACGACCTTAAGATATATATGGCATCACTAATTGGAAGAAATACGGGACATTGGAGAGGTAAAACTCAAAATATTTTAAACGACTTATGCCAATTTAACACGTAAATGGTGGCAACGTTATTTAATACTTGTAGATTTATACTGATATAAATGTTTTGTTTTATTTAATTAAAATTTGATCGTACCAAACAAAGATCTAAATCGGTTGAGTATTACAACTTCGTCTCTGTTTCGAACTCGTTCGTAAATAAAGGGGTGATGGTTAAAACAACGAATGAAAAATGTCTGGAACGAGTTCGATGAATGATATGTGAATGATACGTTGTGAGGATGGATGAATGTTAAAAGATCAACGGACTGTCGGTACTTCCTTGTTTATTGACTAAAGGTTACAGGTAGACTTGCTGCCATTTTAAGGGGTTAGTGGCAGCTTTCTCGTATATATACAGCAAGGAAGGGGTAATGATATCACTACGAACACTAAGTCGTCCTTTGCCAGGATGTATCTCAACTATGTGTCCCAGATACCATTGCCAAGGAGGCCAATTATTCTCCTTTACCAGGACCATAGACCCACCACGAGGACCTTTTCCGATTTCGGCTGCCACTTCGTCCTGTTCTGCAAGGTGGTCAAGTGTTCAGTGGACCACCTTTTACAAAATGCTGGCGGTAGGCCTCGATCAGCTGCCAGCGGGATAACCTATTGGTAGAAATTGCTCAATTAGAGTTGTTATTGGATGACCTAGTTGAAGGTGGCCGAGCTTAAGGGCCATCAGGTCCTTGACGTCGTTGGAAAGGGGAGTGAGGAAGCTAGGGTTTAGTACGCCTTCGATTCTGACTAATAGTGATAATGTGTACACTTCCTAAAAAGGCATTCGTGAAATCATACGCTTTAACGAGTTCAAATGAATCGGTAGTAAGATCGTCGAAAACAACGCAATATTTATTGATATAAATATTTTTTTACTACATAGGTATGGGTAAGGTACAATGTATTAGTGGGATTATCATGCAGTACGAGTTCCATGTGGGCTAAAAATAAAACTCTTTAGAACAGACCTTTGACTTAATTTATTATCCCCACTATGCTTTCTCTTGACGGACAAAAGCTTAGAGCAGCTTTTCTTGAATTTTCCCAAAATGGGAGGGCTTTCCTTGAAGGGTAGCCTGATCATAAAAAGACCATCGGGTGACGGGGTAATAGTATTATAGCAATGTGGTTCAGAAGGATTAACAGGCTTTTTATTTGGTACATGCTGTTCGTTAACAAGATCTAAATTGTCGAGTTCCCAAAACCAGACAATTGTTTGTGCGAGATTTACTTGCAACTAGAAATTTCTCTACCTGGAAAATTTCCTAACGACCCCTAAGAATGTATCCAAAAACCGTATCTTGCAAAATGGCTTGCTCCTAAAATCATTTTACCTGCTAATAGTAAACTCAGGAATAATTCGGCCCCTATCATTATTAAATCCTCGGGT